GCCACACTGTCAATAGCAGTAATAGTGAGCGAAAAAACGAACGTCGCTTGTTACATTGTGGCAAAAGTGGCAATCAAAAGCAGAGCAATGACAACAATTGCGGCAGTAGAATATGGTTGCTGTTGTTGTAGCTGTAGAAGTTACGCTATTGCTGGTAGCGACAGCAAAGAGCCATGGTGGCGACGATAGCAATGCCAATAAAACACCGAGCAGTAGCAACAACAACGCATTAAAATGCAATGCTGCGCCACAGTTTGGGGCCACAATCTGCTGCGCTGCTGCCACATGCCACTTTGGCACTTTGGCACATTTATTGACCATATCGGTGTGGTGTGGAAGGTGTGAAAATTACAAATGCAAACAATGCGGTGAGCGCGCGCTCGTTCTTAACCGAAAGCAACCATATTTGCCAGCAGCCAGCAATTCAGTAGTGGCGCGCGCTGATCAAAGCGACCGGGGCAAACAGCGCGCCACTTGGCATGGCAGTAGCAACGCCTGAAGTGGCGGCTTTTAAAGCTGGTGTCTGCTGATTGTTTCGCATGCACATATATTGTGTGATTCGATAATGTGTGATTTACAATTGTTGTACTTAGTTGTTGTTGTTGTTGTTGATGATGCGACTACTCACTCACTCGTCGAACTACAAAATTGCTGGTGATATGTGTCAGTCAGCCACATTTGCGTGATCGCTGATCGACAATGCAATTGTCATGGTAATTAAGAAAGAGCGGAGAAAAGAGGCAGGAGAGTATTCGTTGCTTTTATGAGGAAAATTTTATTTTGTTGCAACATATATGAAGAATAGTATAGGCTTTGTTCTAACCTTTTATTGTTGTTTATTTAAAGATGTCGAAGTCATGTGTAGTCTGCTTTGGGATAACTGAAAGGTTCCGGATTTCTTTTCTTCTAATATTTCTCGAAAACTCTCCAGGTGCTTTCCGTCTGTGAGATGAATGCGAATCAACTCAAACACTTCCCTACGATTCATCCTCAACTAGTTTCATATATTACACAATATTCTGCTAGCAACATTTTCTTATAATAAATCATATTACCATAAGCTTTTCTTTAGCAACATGTTGACTAATTGAAATTAAAACACTATATCAAAATTTGAAGCCCGCATATTTTTTTTGAAAGTTTCCCACATATAATGTTGCTATGCAACATGATTCAGCAACATGCTATACAATGTTGGCAAACAAATTTTGTTTGAAAATACGTAAAACTTTAGCAGCTAGTTCTTTTCACGAAACAACAACAATTTGCTGCAAAATTTTGCTAAACTCGTTTTGAATATGTTGCTTTTACCTGAAAGCCACAAGAAACTTTTCATAATCGCATCGAGAATATAAACGCACCAAGAATACAGAAAATAAACAAGAAATCTTAATCAAAATACTTCAATATGTATTTACAGTATTTCGCTGAAATTTTTTTTAAAGAAATGTTGCTCAACATTGTTGCTTCATTTTCGTTTTTTTATTCAACTATTAAAATTTAAAAAATTTCATTAAAAAATATGAAATAAAGAACGCAATAAAAAAATTATGTTGCAACATGTTGCTGGAACAAATTGAACTAAAATGTTGCGCTAGTACTTACCATCATAAGGCTTCAATATGTATTTACAGCATTTCGCTGAATAATGTTGCGAAGCATGCAAAAAATGTTGCGCAACATTGCTACTTCATTTTCGTTTTTCACTCAACTGAAAAAATTAAAAAAATTAAATAAGGAACGCAATAAGAAGTTATGTTGCAACATGTTGCTTGAACAAATTGAGCTCATTCGCGCTAGAACTTACCAACACAGATTATTTTAAGCAAAAAAGTAGAAATTTCGCAGTAGATTTCACGAAAGTTGCAGCTACTTCAAAACCATTTGTTAGCAACATGTTGCTAAAATTATATAGGTGCGCAGCTGCTGCATTTAAGTTCCCGATACACACCCATTTATTATGCTGGCATATATTTAACTGTCCGTAACCAATGCTCCACACAGATGGCCTCAATTACATAGCTTGGCATTCCAGTTACTCGCCGCCGATGATGACCATGAAGCATCAGCAGACTATATACAATTCTGGTATTTATTTACACGGTACCACTTTCGAGTCTAAGTGATGTTTTCGCCAATTCCTTGCGGTCACCACAAACGAAATGGCAAAACGCCTTCACTGTGCCACATAACGCAAAGTCGCGCTGCTCCACTTTAAATAGTTGCACTGTACACACACACACACACTTACACACATATATTCATACGAATTTATTAGCACATCAAAAGCAGCGTGTCAATCTTATCTAGTTGAAGTGCAGAAAGAAAAACAAAGACACGGTCATACCATCATTTGGCGATTGGTTATGCGCATGCGCGCTTCCACGCCAAAGCTATAATAAATTCATTTCAACCAAGTTGCAACAACTGTGCGGCGATATCAATCTGCATACAATTGTGCGCCGGACAAGCGCACCTGAGTGCATCCACCGCCGTGCCATTGCCGTTTGCCACACCACACATTGACAGCCAAAGCGCAGCGTTTTTTTCGGCCCACTTGCCGCCACCTTCGCCGCCAGCACTTCGTCAACGCTACATCATTCATAACTTTTAATGTTAAGGCGGTTATTCTTCAAGCGCTCAAGCGCTTGTTGTTGCCCTGTCGATCGTTTACACAGATAGGCCGTTTGTCTAGCTCAAGCGCACTTCACACACACACACGCACACACGAATAGGCGTCTTGTTGTTTTTGCTTGCCGCATGATTTACAATGTGAACACTTTATGGTTGTTTAAGTTGTTAAATTGAATTAAGATGAAATAAATTCTGCACAATAACAACAACAACATACATTTTTATTTTGTTTTAAATCATATACTTGTTTGTTCATAAATTTTGTACGCACCTCACGGCGCTCTCTGTATCACGCACCGGCTGCGCGCACTCCCTCTCTTCTTTACAAATCGCTGAGCAGCTCTTCTCATTCTGCAGCTGGAGATTTTGCGCTCGTAAATTCACTTTAAGAGGGCGTAATCATGCGTTGGAATTTAAATTAATTCGCTAGTAAAATCATCGTCTGCGCGGACGTGCAACGATCAGCCGGCAAGTGATCGAACGCATGCGCAGCGCCCAGCCAATGCATCATTCAACCGATTGCCCCATGCCGTCGCTAATCTGCGCTGAATTTTGTAGCACAAGCGCACATGCCTATTTTTACCGCATTACGAGCTCATAAATCTTGCTATGAAGATATCGCATTTAACGTTTAGTCGCCTGCGACCGCAGCGCTCTTAAGGTGACCCCCGCCGTTTTTCTTATTGTTGTTGCTGTTGTTGCCTATTGCAAATTTAACGCTTAATTTCATAAAAGACGAAGTTAGCAGAAAAAAAAACAACTCAGTGCTACGGTGAGTACCATTTTGCTTGTGTCAGTCAAACAATAAATATCTATGTAGCGGCCTGCCAGCGAGAAAAATCACAGAAACACATAAATAATTCATTTCATCCACTTGGCGCGGATAATACGCTGTCGTGCATTTTATAAGATGCGCGCAGACAGCATAGATTTCAGTTGCAATAGCGAAACGAGAACAACGAAATTATAAATAAAATAGAAATTAAAATAAAGTGCAAGTGCCCTTGGGAACGAGCGCGCCACTTGAGGGACATAATGTAGAAAGATGGAAATATATTTTGTTTATGGGGTGACCACTCTTCTCTTGAAAAACGTTAAGGCATAAAACAATAATCGTACATAGAAATCTTATTTTAGCCTTGACAGTAAACTCTAGCTAACTTGTTCGCACTTTGGGACTTTGGTTGTCCCAAGTATGAGGGTTTGGCTGATATGTGCGAGAGTTGGCAGTCGTGCTATGATTGATGAGTTGAAAAGCAACTCTTGATGCTCCAAAGAAACCTAAAACCAGTTTTTGGAAAATACTAACAGTTATGCTGGTCAAAAGTTTATTTTAGACTGACATAAACTCGTCTTTTAATCTACGGCTTAATATTGGCTGTGAATACTTCGCATCGTAGCCAGAAATCTAAGCATTATCTGGGCTTGAATTGACGTCAAAAAGCAGAAAGCACAACATTCAGCCGACCGATTTTCTACTTGACTCTGAATGATGTACTACCGCTTATTGACAGCTACATATAATTATGATTTTTCTCTTCATAGACTCTAGTTTAAGGCTTCCAGACAAATGCAGTCTCTCTCACCCTGAAGTGTCAGTCATTCAAGTACCAGAGCGGTTATACTGACATTGGTCTCGCTGCCTTTGTGTTCAAGGTTGGAATTGCTTGGAACTTTAAAGTGGATAAACTTAAAAGAAAGGGCACTATCGAACCAATTCCGTCAGACTGCGAACGCGTCGAACTCTGCTGACTTTTACGTCTAAAACCAGACGGAGAAGAGCCAGCGGTATGAGGTCAGTAAGTGCTGATCAAGAACCAGCACTTGCCCAACTACGAAATCCTTCTGGTCCAAAGTATTACAAAAGCGATTAACTTGTTCTTGGCGGAGTTCATCTCAAGGTGTATTGGTTTTTACAGAGCACTTTCCAATAGGACGAAAATGTGGAAAGGACAAACATTTTGACGACGCAAATTGTAAGATCTGCTTGAGAGAGGGCGAGGATCTTTTCTTCTCTGCTGTCGTGTCATATCTTTGGTAAGCCGTCGATTATTTGATATTAGTCGTGTCAACGAAATTAAGATAGGATTGAGATCGATTCGTCGATTATTAAGAGTTTATTAATTCATGCGTAGGGATTTTAGGATCGCAACGGATTGATCTTTTCCTTGGAATTGTTAGGTTCCTTTGTTTGTGAAAGATTCAACAGGCAAGTTCGAAGCTTTAGTGAACCGAGAAACCTTTTTGTATTAGCTATAAGCCTTATACTGGAAGAGCAGAGAGTTGGCACTCAAAAATGTCGTCTTCCACTACTAAGCTTACTATTCCTTAATATAAAACTACCAAAAAAAGCACGCGAAAACAAATTATATACATATTTCAGTTTTATAAAATTTTACTTGATTGGCTGGAAGGGAAGACATTTTCTATTACTCAACTACGGCAGTAGCAACCTTCGCGTGTGTTTTGTTTAATCCAATCGAGGAATTTACTGACACGCGTATAAACACCCGGTGCATTTGCTTGAGCGCAGCCGTAACCGAAAGAGACAATCCCTATAAAGAGAGAGAAAATAACCAATTAATTTATATTTTCTTTAAAAACTTTACAAAATCGACAAAATATTTTTGAACTCACCCGCCAATTTGTATCTGCCTTCATAGACAATCAGCGGACCACCGCTGTCGCCTTGGCAGGCATCCTTGCCACCGGTCTGAACGAGTCCAGCGCATAGCATAACATCGGTAATTTTGCTTTTGTAACGCGTTTCACGACATTGATTATTAGTAATTATGGGCACGGTGGCCTCCTGCAAATAATTGGAGGTGACGCCACCCTCCTTCACAAGACCCCAACCGGCGACGATCGCCTGTGGGAAACACAAATGAAAATATTCTTAAAAAGAACCAGAGTAGCTATTGTGTTTTTGTTGTACTTACTTCTTTGTTGTCGAAATTGTGATTGATATCGGGCAGACAAACGGGGCGCATGGTGCTGCTGAACAGTATGGGCGACTCCAACTTCAAAATGGCGATGTCATTTACAATTTTGCTCTGATCGTATTGCGGATGTATAATTGTTTGGATGACCTGTGTGGATGTTTGGAAAACGTTTGCTAGTTATTCTCATTGAGTATCACTTACAGTTATTATTTTGGCTTGAGCGCAGCTAATAATTTATTTTCGTGCTGAGTCTCTAAGCCGCAGTGAGTGCTTTTGTTTGTAGGGAAGAGTGAGTGCAGCACTAACAACTTCCGGCAGCCGTTTTAATGGTAATGGTATACCCATTATTATTGCGGGTTATTTGTTAAGGCGCTGAATATTTAGCTACTATTTTGGCTTGTGATTTCAATTTTCATACCCAGCACATCAGCAAGCCAACGGATGTCGGGAGAAAAAATGCTGTATGAAAAGTCTGAACGCTCGCAGAAAAGACTAGATTGCTTATCTGAGGTGCTCAGGCGTATGTTTTGTGCTTCTTTATGCAGCTTGTGGTCAACTCATGACAACTACAGAACGTTTTGAAACTTAGATTTTAGGATGTGTATCTAAAGGACTAAGCTTTATGTGCTTCCAATAGTGGTACTGGTTGAACTCGTGAAAATAATACTAAGACTGTTAAACTTGTTGGATTAATTAGCCTTGGAATTCTATCTTCTTGTGTGAAGTTCTTTGAACTTTAAGTTTGAGATTAGAGTATTAGCAACTGAGAGAAGCCACGGAAATTTAGAGAGCTGTGAACTCTAACCCTTTGTGAGTCCCAAAACATCTAGAAACGGATCACCAGACTCTTATAGATCGAAGAAGCGCTTTTGGGTTAACCGCAAATTTATTAAGGTTACTAATATCGATCTTAGCCGCTTCGTTAGGCTCGTCCAAGGAGTGCCTAGCGCAAAGTTACAACTTCAGTCTGGCAAAAGCTGGTCATTTCACAAGGCACTTTTTTGATTTTAACTTGCCTTTCTCCATACAACTTTTTCAATTTGCATCGTATAAGATATCGACAGTGTCCAGTCGGAACACTTACCATAGCGGCAAGTTGAGCCTAGCTAAAAACAAGTAGTTCAGAGAATCTCTTGCGTTCCCGTCTGGGCCAGAAAATTCGCACAACTACATAACTTCTGGCCAGCGCCTGCCAAGCTTAGGAGAGGTCCATAATTTCAAAGCTAGAGCGCAAGAGAAAAGCAAAGTATCGACTCGTTTCCTCCCAATCTTAGGAAATTAGGATAGGAGTGTGCTCTCTAGCAAGCTCACTGTCTTTGAAATTTCCAGCGAGTTATGACCAGCTACCCAAACAAGTGGGAAAACAAAGTAGCTTGATATATATTAAGTGAGCAGTTTCACAGATGACAAAGTTTGTCTTTTCACGAAAGCTTAATATTGAAGAGATCGCCAGAGAGTATGGGTCCACATTTCAGAAGGAACAAAATTTTCAGTTTGACGAGTTCGCGAAACAGAGTGGGGTGACAAAATTTCTGAAGGAAGAGTATTTACCAACCTTCGAGAAAAGTTCAGCTTTATTGGAAATGTGTTTAAGCAATTGCCTCAGTAAAGCGCTCAACTAATTGTGACCCAATGAATATTGAGTTCACCTGAAATTTGTCAACAAGAAAAATCACTGTTGGGTATAAGAACCGTCTTTTCTTTTTTCTTATTAGCACAATCTCACCATTCTAGTGATACCAGGATCCCCCGACGATCTATCCAATTGCAGTAATCGTACAGTTATCTGATGACGATTATTTTTTACACAATGCGCCGCCGTCAGCACATAGCGATCATTAATCAACGAGCCGCCACAGAAGAGACGCGCATGCCAGCGTCCCCTAAGTAGTTGCGTCGTCCAAGGGTACTTGTTGTGACGCACCTGTGTGCCGCCAACGATGCGATTGACATTCGGCGTACCACAGTCTATAGACGCAGACGTAGATCAACCCATAGAAGAAGCATGAAGAAACAGCCAATAAAAAAAAATTAAGAAAATAGTGAAAAATTAGAAAGTCTTTTACAAAAAGTTATGCAAGAAATACTCACAGCATTGTGTGGCACATTGGCCGTAACGTCCTTTATCTTCATCCAGAAAATCCGGTCCATCGGGACGTTCATAGAAATAAGCAGCTTGCACGCCAAGCGCCAAACAACACACCAAACTGGCACAGCACAATATAAAGGATTTCATTGTTTGGACACTATACACTTTAATAGAAAAAAAAACGAAAAGAACACGCACTTGGTATGCACGTTTACGCGTAAATTAATAAAATTCCTTGAGGCAACGAAGTACTTGGCTGCCGCTTGCCGCAGCAGACTGTTGCGAAATGTTTCAGCGTTTAGCAAACGGAGCCCTTCTTATAGTTTACGCACTGTCGCTGGCGCCGTTTATTGCGTCTGCGCACGCGATCAAGACCAAATGCGCAAAAGTATAACAGAAAGCAACAAAGAAAATGATCCAATAACAATATTATTGTCAGCCAAAGTTTACAACAAATTAAAAGCACGCAGAAATCATATTCGATTTTGGTTCGCAGCTTAATTTTTATCTTGCCGTCTCCTTTCCGTCATGTTCTCAAATATTTTAGCTGAACTTTCTTTGTTGTGGCATACACACAAACTAATTTACAGACAGTCATTCCTATAATCACGATGAGACTGTGGCTTATCGTTCATTGAACACCATGGCAGAAAAAATTACAGCAAAATGGTATGCAAAAATAAAATTGAAAAAAGAAGCGTCACAATCGATACTTTTCGTCCAGCGCCTATAAATTTGTTTATTAGCTCATTTGAAATCGCTGAATTTTTAATTTTACACACTGCTTTGCATTACCATAAAAGCGTGCTAAATGTGCTCAGAACAAATGTTGGTGCTAACGACACTTCCTCCGAAGTGATTCAAAATTTAATAGCCCTTAACAAAAAGCACAGTACTTTTCTTGTTTTTTTTTTTGGCGTGGAGTCTTTTTTAATATGTCGAAATACTTTTGGTGAAGGTGTGGATTATTTTGTTGTTAGTGTGAAAGATATCTGTATACAATATTGGAGTGCGAGTAACGGTTTTACTTTAATAAGCGAAAGACAGCATTAAAGTGCTAATTAAAAGTATGTTTAATATGTTAAACTGACTTTGGGAATTTTAAGACACTTACACCGAAAAAATCTTTAAATTTTGAAAATAAACTTCTTAATATTTAATATATAGATTAATTTTATATATTTTTTAAAACTAAAATTTTAATTATGAGGGGCAAAAAAATATATTGAAATCAAATAATAAATAAAAATTTAATTCATACATTTCATTTAAAATTTTTTAAACTCACAAACGTATAAAATTTTTTAAAAAAATTTAAAAAAATGTTAATAATATTTAATTTGATTCGTAAATTTTTGCACTAAAAAATTCAAGTTTTCCAAAAAAATGCAAAATAAATTTACAATCATAAAATACTGAAAAACTGTTGAAGGCTACTAAAATTTACATATTCTTTTTAAATAAAAACTTCATAAAAAACATAAAATTCATTCTTAAATTTTTACAATGACAAACATGTTACATTTTCATAAAAATAAAATTAAATTAATTAAATAAATAATTAAAATATTAAAATTTTACATATTAAAAAAATATAAAGTTTTCTAAAAAGCAATAAAATATATGCACAATAATAATGCACTGAAAAAAGAAAAGATATTTTAAAAACAAATTTAAAAAAATATCTATAATTTCAATATATTATATTAAAAAATAATAATTTTTATATTTGTAATTTAATTTTTTTTGAAATAATATTTCAACTGTCACAGAAAAATATTTAATTTGTAAATTCAAAAAAACTTAAACATTATTAATAATATTTTATATATTTTTTTTAATAATACTTCAATATTTACGTTGCAAACAATAAAAAAAAACACACCGAAATTATTTCTTACAATTTTACAATGACAAACATTTTACATTTTTCAAAATATAATATTTTTAAATAATTTTTAAATTAATATTTCAATTCTCACGCAAAAATATTTTAAATTTAGAAGTAAAATAATATAATAAGTCAATTTCATTTGTAAAGTTTTTAACTAAAAAAAAATTTAAATTTTCCAAAAAAAATTACAAAAATATAACATGTAATATAATTCTAAATATATCTAATAAACAGTTAAAAAAAATACATGTAATATTTAATTTTTTTTAATAAGAATAATTTGTACAATAAAAACAGAAAAATTTAAATAATTTGCGTTGATTTACATATTAAACTTTTACATTAAAAAAATATACGAAAAAATTTTTACAATAATTAAAAATTAATTTTTATACAATAATTTTCTACGTATTAAGTTTTTTATATTATCTAATATTCTTTAATCAATTTTTTTTTGTTTTGTTTATTTCTTTTTCTTTGTTAATAACTGAAATATATTGACGGTGTTTAGCTGAAATTTTGTAGTTCACCTGTTACAAGCATTTTGATAGATATGGTAGCTCTTTCAAGAACTTACATACAAATTGAAGAGTATGTGACGCATGTCGAATTCAGGCATTGGCAGCAATTAGTCACGATTTTTTCTCGTCTGCGTAAATCCATTTAAATGTCACATTAATTATAAGCTCGTTGAATCTGCATACTCGTATAAAAGCAAATCAATGGTGGTATTTTATGGCAGTGCGTATGTTATTAGTGCGGGAAAGTTTTGTTAGACGAAGCATTGTTTTACTAATTTTCGCTAATTGACTTCGTGATAGAGAGCTTATTCTCAAATTGATTTAACATATTTCACTAAGAAATTAAATAACGTTCACGCATTGCAAAGAAGTATGCATATTTTAAGGTGTTTGACTATAAATGGTTGTATTTCGGAGCAACTTTTTAGAAAAATTAGTTCATTGGAAGTTCACAAAATTCCCAAGTCCATAGAGTTCTAGTTGTTTACGTACTGAATGGCATTAAAATTTTCCGATATAACAAATTGAAATATGGTAATGAGCAATTAGAAAAAGTTTATATATTTCCACAGTATTCAAAACTTCCCAATTACTAAACTAACAATATTTTTTAAATTTCAATATCTTATATTAAATACAATACATAAAATCAAAGCGACTAGACTGTAAGACAAAAAACAACATTCAACAAGTAAGGAAATGCTAAGTTCGGGTGTATTTGAACATTTTATACTTTTGCAACTTGCAAAGTGCAAAGCCAGGGAAAACCTGCAGGTGTAGGTAAAACTCTATATTAACTTACCCTAGTAGTTTTGTCCTGATTTCATGAATTCTAGGCAAGAGGTTATTAGAAAGCAGTTATTTTTAAAGTTTATCAAGATTTCTTACATACTGGCCGATAGATAAGTTATAAAGTCAACCGGAAGTTCGAAAATATTTATGTTAGGTATATGGGCGAAGTATTGAGTCGATTTTAACAATTTTTGGCGCAAGAGCATATTTGTTACTATAAAAATAGTTTACCCGAATTTTAGTACTAAACCATACAGATTGAACGATATGCCCCAAAGAAAATCAGCCATATGCACTGTGGTCCACATATATAGTATATGTGTCCTTGAAAAGTTAAAGTCAGATTTCGACAATTTTTGTGCAAATTTTTTTCTGATATCTTTATTGTTGTTTAATTTGTATACTATAAAGTGAAAGATTCAGATGGAAGGTATGTTATGTGGGTAGTAGGCGTAATTCTAAGCAGATTTCGCCCATCACAGTGTATAAAAGAAATGTTTGGATAATTACACATACCAAATTTGGTTGAAAATGGTTAAGAAATTCCTGAGATATACGATTTCATTGAAAGGTGAGCGGTGCCATGCTCCTTGTCCAATTTTTACACAAGAACCTACAAAGCTCTGTCATACCATCTCGAGTGTAAAATTGTATGTCTCTGCCGCATGTACTTATAGATTTATCGCACTTTTAGTAGTGTTCAAAAAAACCGTTATATGGACAGTAGGCATGGTTATTATCTGATTTGACTAACTCACAGTGTATGAAGAAGTGCTAAAAAGACTTCGTATCAGCAGGTTTGGTTCGTTTTACTTCAGCAATTTGAAAAATATGCACATTTAAGCACGGTGCCACGCACATTTTTAAACAAACTTTAGCCCACAAATGTCTCTTAATATCCTGCATTAAATTACAGTCTTGTATCTATATTTCCAGGTTAGTTATGACACGTTATACGTTTTTAATGGTCCGATGACGCCCACCTGCAATATATAATAACAACTTTTTATAAACTTTAAATATCGGTAAGATTTATATTCACAATATTTAATAAAAGTTCAAAATTTTGAGGCGCATAATTAGTAATATAACACACAAGAGATACCACCGTTTTTTTAAATCCCTACCTAACAGCCAGCTCTACGCGGTTAAAAAATTCAATATTTTTTTTTTTTATAATTTCTACTAATTCAAATATTTATGGTCCCAGATTTAATATACATGTTGTTGTTGACTTATGGGTTTTAGTTTGGCTACTGTGCCTCAACAACAACAACAACTTACACACATCGAGAGTCTGCATAAATTATCTTGTGCGAATTTATGTATGCAAATGCGATGTTGGCGCTAACATTTGTAATCTTACATTAAATTATGGCTGAAAAATTTTAGAGAAATGCTTGGCGGGCGTTAAAAAGTTAAAATAAAATCAAATTTAAAATAAAATATGCTTTAGTATATATAGCTGCATGTAATATGTATATGGCAACAATATTTATAGTTTCAAGAATTTAGCAACATGTAATTACTTTTCACTTGCAACAATACGCGGTAAATCCGGACCGCCTTAAATGTTGGCTTGCGTGGAGAACAAAAGCAAAAAACATAAAGAACAGAGAGAAGGCAAACGAAGTTGCCGATATTAAACGACATCGATTTATCATTTGACTTTATTAATTTCATATATGTACCCCGCGGCATACATAGTTTGTTGCCGCAAACGCGGCGGTGACGCTTTTGCACGCCAAAGGTTTGTTTTGCACAATTCACGCACGACAGCAGGATCTTCACGCGGCACGCCACATGCTGCCACATAAATTAGTGACTTGTGTGTACGGTTGCACATGCATGTGGCATGGCATGCAGTGCATGCAACGTCATCCGCTGTGCGTGCAAATAAATTATACAAACAGGTTGCAAGCGGGTGGAGCAGAGTTTTCGTCGTCGCTCCAATGAAAGAGAGTGAGCACATCAATTCGTGCACAGGTTTTTAATGGATTTTTAATAATTTTATAATCTTTACGCGCAGGCAGCTGTAGTTTGCGCAGGCGACAAAGCCAAAGAAAGTTAACGGTGTGTAATGCGGTTTTGTTAAAACATATATTTGCGGAAATATGGAAAGAGTATATATCCCTTCATAGGCATCTTGTCTTACCTAGAATATATATCTAACTCCGTCTGTTTTGGGTTCAAGAAATAGTAATAATGTTATTCATCTTGGTTTGAATCGTGATTAATCTTGATCTTGATGGAGGCTTAGTTTTAGTTAATCATATTACTTTCGCTGATTTGATAATTAAAAAGAAATCATGATATAGGTTGTCTTAGTTTCCAATTTGAATGGTTAGACTGGTATTGCAGAAAATATTAGGCTATGAGCCCCTAGAACAGGTACTGCAGTCGAAATAACTAGGAATGGGAACGGGTAGGAGCCATTCACTCTTGTGATTCAACACTGGACGTTCAGACCAACTCAGCGAGCGTGATAGTTGATCAGCAGCTGCCCTTCTCTTCAGGGTAAATCACCAGGTCTAGGAAATCTTCGCTCTCAGCAAAGTCCACCTTCAATGGTTGTAGGAGTTCTAACTGGACACTGTCCGATCAGGATCCATGCGGTTAAATTGAATATCTTACCGGATGTCAGTTGCATCAGCTGTCTGGCAGAAAATGAGAGGCTCATCTAACGCTTCCTAAACAATGCTGCTTTTGGCAGATCAAGAGCTGGATCTCATACTTTTAGACATCCAGGTCGAAATGGCGGAAGTACGACTAAAACACCTAGCAGATTTGTACTTGTAATAGGGTTATAACGTTTTGCCGATAGCTGATATCGAATTATATTAGTTTTTCGCCTAGTACACAGATCTTACTTATTCAATAAAATGATTATTTAACTGCGACAACTGCTGTTAGAAAAGGTCTGCATCAGAAAGAGCAATCTATAAAATCTGATGAGTTCTCTTTGCAACTGGGCACATCTCAACATTGCATTTCATTCCATGCAAATTCCGTTGCAAAAACTGTTGTATGAACTATATATAATTGTGCGTGTGGGTATGTGCTTTTACAAGGCCTAGCATTAATTGCAGTTAACGACATGACCACAGTTCAACACAGAGCGCTCAATTCGCGTTGAGGCATATCTTCTCCAACAGTGCATACCAGTAACTGCATACAGTTAAAAGTAACAACAACAATAGAAAATAGCAGTCCTAACAGAGTAAATTGCAGCAGCCTAATTGGCATATTTGTGTGACTCTGAAATCGCTGGAAAATGGTCGCATTTTCGCTGATGTTGCTGTTTCAAATGATACTGCATTCAACAGCCATAAAGGCACCACCTACCAAATGTAGCCACAGCCAAAACCGCACAGTCCAGAAACCGAAGAAGCAGCAGAAAACTACCAGAGATGCTCCAGCTAACAAGAGACGTCACAACAATTTGTGGCAAACAAGCAAAAGGCAAACAGCGCATGCGCAGCCAGTCCAAGCATTTCACGACAGTGAAATGCACAAATCAAAAAATGTATTGACTTGATTCAGTTTTCTGAAAATGCTCGCATTTTTAAGCTTCTTTATGTTGTTTTTATTTTTGCTTTGCTTTGCCTTTCGCCTGTCAATTTGTTGCCTGCTGCTGCGCGCAGTTAGCATCATTGCGACAGGCGACAGCCGCAATAGTATTACCATCATAGCTACAACAACAACAACAACACCAACAACGTAGTCATATCTATACAGCACATACAACAACGTTCGACAGTCGTGCGAACTCCACTCTTTTGGCATTGTCGCTGCTGACGCCTCTGCCTGCCGCTAAAGTCAGTCAGTCAATTTAGTGCCTTCTGAGTTTTCAACTTGTTAGTTTAGAGGCTATAGCCCCTCACACAAATGCTGACTTATAATAGGCGTGTAATACTTATTTACAGATTCCTTATAAATAGAGGACAGCAATAAAACATACACAAGTACGATGCAGCAAGCCACATCAAGCCAGTTGAAGGCTCTTGCTGTCTGTCTGTTGGTGTATGGGAGCTGCCTCTTAAAATCAAATGATAATAATCACCGCCAGATATCATAAAACATGTTATGCTGATATTTTAACTGCTCAGCCATCATAATCACCGGCTACGTGCGTCCTCCTGTAGGTTTTCAGCGGGCATATGGTGAGCTTCGATCGCTGCACAGCCACATAGTTAGCCAGTTAACATTCCTGCTGTGAGACTCGTGAGTGTCAAGCGCGTTGGGCATAGCCGCAGAAGGGTAGAGTAACAGGCGAGTTGAGATGATGCGTTGGCTGGACTTTGACAAAATCTTATTTATTTTGTAAGATTTTAATTCTTAGATATGGTGGGCACTGTTTCACGAATTGTGTGTTATATGTTTAGACCATTAGTCGTTAGTATGTTTAAGTAGAGTTGTAAAGTTTTTTGTTGAAGGCTTCATAAATTTATATTCACTTGGTTCTATCGTGAGTTTAAAATATTCAAACTTTTCAATTGTGTTTGGCAAATAATTAAAAAATGTTGCCTATATATAGGCGAAAAATACGTAATTTATCAAAGTCACACACCCACACCGTGTATATACTATTTTTCTTTCAAGCTTGTATAATAACGACTTTATAATAAAATTAGATATCTTTGCTGAACAGATTTACTTTTAAAAGGGTTACTATCTTACGCTCAAATTAAAAACCAAACTTGTCTGACAAATAACTTTATAGAATTAAAATAGAAAAACAATAAGCACTGTCTGAACACTTCGTGGCATATCTGAAAATGAGATATCTTGAAGAAAAGTTATTAATAGGAAGGGCATTAGTGTCTGTTCATCAACGAAAAGAAATTAGAATATTCTTCTCTAGATTACACAATTGTCAAGATAACCAAAGATAAGGATTTAAGGGGGTATTATATTCTAGAGACAGGAATTTTAGGTGATTTTTAAAGTTTCGTAAAAAAAGGCAATCAATATTTTTATTATCGATTTTTCTATCAGTTATTTATTAATGTTGAAAGAGTACAGAAAAAAATGTAAAAAAAAGTTAAAAATTTAAAAAACTGGCAGCTGATGAAGTGGGAGTCTGCAGTGATGTCGCAATTGTATGAACTAACGATAAGTAAAAAAAAATTATTTTGACAAAATGGCGACTGTTTGAACAAAAAAAAAACGATTTTTTTTACCATTATTTTTATTTTCTCGTATTTTTTAAAACTTGTAAAATTTTAATTTTGTGGATGAGGCTAGCTCATACTCGAGAGAAATCTATAAATAAGACTCTCTGAAAATTAAGTAAGTCAGTTTAGTAGATCTCGAGAAATCGTGGGTATCTTTTTGAAAAAGACTGGTCTGAGAAGAACGCATTTAAAGTTGCGCGTCAAGTTGTTTGATCGATTAGACCCAACCGAACCAGTTTGGTGGCCGGGTCAGTAAAATGTCTATATCTCCGAAAATAATTTAAATTTTCAAAAATCCTTTTGACATATTCTTTAAGCGTTAAACTTTGAAAATATAAAAAAAATTTCCCACTCAACTTTTGATAATCAATTTTTGACAAAATATCGCAACTAATGTCTTGTCTCTACCTCCAAATATATGAAAGTACACTTTCTCTGTCGTTTCTCCCATAATTTCCGACAAAAAGATATTTAGGATTGTTAGCTTGTGTTGAGTGCACCTTATTCTCTTCTTTTCAGGCAACACACATGACCATCGATCTACGAAAATATATTTTTCTATGTAAATGTATATGTTAAGGTATTCATAACCCTGTTGCCACTTATTTATTCATGTTCAATTTGCATAAATGACAATGAGCAGCTCATAATGCATGCGTTATTATTTCTCCTTCAACCTCCTCGACTGCCTTGGCTGCCTGTTGTGCGCCACCACATGCCACATATTGCATGCCACCAATTGCTGCCACCAGTGTGCGGCAGAAGCCTTTTCAGCTCATATTTACAGCATTCCCCTGTTTGCCTTATTAAATATTAAAATTTGCATAGTTTCATAAGCTCATCAGCAT